CTGTTCGGCGTGAGTTACAGATGCTTATCGGGTGACCCAGAAAGGAAGACGGCAGCAAGGAAGTGCGTAAGGAGACTTTTTAAATTCCTTATGTTACTTTCGGAGAAATCTTCCCAGTTTCAGAGGATTGGAAGACAATGTTTTTGGATCCCCATCATCAATATAAAATTTTTATCTATAATACAAATTACTTGTAGAAATTTCCGGGTTACAAGTGGTCACTCAGCGAACATTGGCGGTTGCTCCCACCGCATGTGCAGAGCAGCTGAAACGCAGCCCTGCCCTACGAAAACATTGATGTCACGGGAAGAATCAGAGCTTGGAGCCTGCAGCTAAAGCGCAGGTGGGTCTGACCCGTGCCGCGGAGGCGTGTTTTCGTGAACAGCTGGTGTGGAAGTGGGGGTGGTTGTGGGAGAGGACGGTCACGGGGGGTGGTGACTCCTGACGGAGGGGGTGTTTCAGCTGGGCCTGGAGTCGGGGGAGTCATCGCGGAAGCGCCAGCGTGAACAGGTGCAGGGAGGGCGGCGGGGTGGGAGCGACGACGGCGGGAAGCAGAGTCTCGCTGGGACAGAGAACAGGTGAGTGAAAGGAAATTTGGAGAAAGGACAGGACCAGTCCAGGCAGCGCCGATGGTTGTGAAGCAGGCTGCCATTGCACCTGAAATGCTGATGTGGCCGATCGTGAGTAGGAAGTGGAGAGGTGGCGTGAGGGGCGAGGCGGCCACGCAGCAGACCAGGACAAAACCCGCCGGTTCCGAGACCGGGATCAGCCTTGGTGCTGCCACCGGCTGTGGGGCTATGTGCCACCCGCTTAACTTCGCCAGCCCTTGGTTTCCCCGTATGTAAGATGTAAGCCTCATCTCAGCATTTTTCATCCTGAAAAAGAAAACTCTGCCGCCGAGGATGTCCAAGGCTTGACCAACAGCAGCGAGCGCAGGAAAGAGCGGCTCCACAGGCGCCGGAGGATGAGGTTTGCGCAGCCCTGCAGTTCACCCTGTGCTGGAGTGAGGAGCAGCTTTTGCTTTCATTCTGTCTTTTCTCTTCCTTTCTGCATGAGCTATTTATGGGACAGAAAGGTTGCAGCTTCGTCAAAACTAAGCCCTTCCACCACCACATCCCCGACATGTGCCCGCGTGAAATGAAACGTTGGTTCTTGAAACATCTTCAGCTGACAGCCCACGACAGGGGAAAGCCCCTGAGCAGTGTTTGGATTGCACATTGACGTGCCGGACGATCCCGCAAGCGGACCGTGTCGGAGCAGAGTTGAGCCTGTCCTCGTGCACAGATCTCACGTCCTTGAACAGCAGGAGCCCACAGGACAGACGGTCCCTGGCGTACGATGTCAGCGGACAAGGGCGCAGAAGCGACGTGCCCCAGTGGGACCCACACAGGGAGGGCCCACGCAGCCATCTGCCATTCCCTGTCGGTGCTGTGGCTAGCAAGTGTGTGAGATGTTCGCCACCGTTGTGAGGAGGCTCTGTGTTAGATGGCCTTGCCCAGTTGCGGGCTAATGGAGGTGTTCTGAGGATGTTCCCAGCGGGCTGGGCTAAGCGACGACGTCGGCAGGTTAGGTGTGTTAAATACATTCCAGCTTGAGATATTTTCAGCTTACGATGGGTTTATCAGGACGTCACCCCATCATAAATGGAGGAACATTTGTATTAAGTCATCGCTGCACCTTTTGGTTTTGCTTTCATGGTTTAAAATGCATCATCTCACTGCAAAGGCCGGGCTCCCCCACAGACTCACAGATGACAAGTGTCTTGCCCACAGATCACAAAAGAGGAAAGACTCCCACTGTGTGGCTGAGGAAAGTACATCAGTTTAGTGTCATGAATGACACTTCATAAAAATGTTGATAGAAAAATACGGACCAGATCAAATTGCGGTGAGTAGGACGGGACGGCCACAGCTGCGGAGCGGTGCGCGCTGAGAGAACAGAAGTTTTATCTTGATTTTAACATCATCAGGCGCATCTTCAGATGACTTAACTCCCGGTGAAAACACATAATCACATCAACATCCACCTTTCCCTCTCTCCCACCCCCAGCTTGCCTGCTGGATACTCCATTTATATTTCTTGCCATAAGTTTAGAAATTCAAGTGCAGCCTGATTCACTTCCCATGGTTAGGACAAATGCGAAACTTACACAGCCGCGGTTCGTAGGAATTAAGATAATGCACGATGCCTCCTCTGCAGACAATATCTGAGGTGGATTAAGCCTGCCAAGGTTCATCATTTTAGAATCCATCATGTTTTGTTGAAAGAAGCTCATTTGTTGGTGATGGATTTTGTGAGAAGAGCATTTTCCAAAGAGAAGATAGAACCCAGAGTCATTTTGCCAGGAACCGTGGTACGTCTGTCTGTGGGACGGTTCCTCGACCGAGCGCGAGAGAAGTCGCTGCAGATGCGCAGTGAAAATCCACTTCCGCCAGCACTGCCCCCACCTCCCAGGATCCCCCAGACCAGACTGTGGGCTGCGTGAGCTAGTTAGTGTTTCACAAAGCTTCAATGTTACATCATACAAAAATGTTTTCCGTTAGAATCACTTTGGTACAAAAGTATGTATTTGATACGCCATAATTGTCTCAAAAGAAAGTGTTTTATAGATGGAGCCATTTGAGTTTTGCCTAATTTAGTAACTCAGACATCCGTACGGGGTCTTCTTCCCCACACAGAGGGACCCCGGGGCCACCTGCGTGTGGGGCTGGGGAGGGCAGAGCGGACGAACTCACTTACTTTGGCTTGGGCAGCCATGAGGGTTCTGTCGCTCACGCGGCGTGGCGTGGAAACAGCGGCCGCCACCTGGGGCTGGAGTGGTCGGAGCAGCTTCTCCGTCATCGGCACTGACATCCGTCTGCTGTCCCCTAAGTGGCCAGAGCACCTGGGATCCCTGGCGCAGGCTGCCTCGGTGTCCGCACCCGGGGCCAGACGGTTCCTCGCCCCACCTTTCGCACCTGCGTACAGGGGTGTCATGCCTATCGCCACAGCACGGCACAGACCCTGCCGCGAGTCGCACCAGCACGACACGTATCTGGCAGAGCTGGTGTTTGTGGCGTGGATTTGAGCTGGCTTTGGTCAAAACTTCAGTGAGATGCTGTGATGGTCTCACCCAAGGTTCCTTCCTCTTCCCAGGCGCCTGGAGCTGGGCGAGGCAGCAGCATCTCGCGCTCACTGTGGTGTCTCTCCCGCCTGTCTCCCAGCGTGGGCACAGGTGGGCGGGGAGGGCAAGAGGGGCCATCCTGGAGCGGGGGTGTCGGAGTGGAAGGCGGGGGCCACGGCGGCAAGTGGACCCGAGGTTGGAAGTGGCTGCACGTGGCCACTTTGCCCCAGCGGACCGTGCGCACGTGTGTGTCTCGTCCTATGTGGACGCACATGATAACCTCTGTCTACAGGTGACACGTGGCCCACTGGAAACCCACAAGCAAAGTGTTGGAGGACGAGATGGTCATTTCCTGGGGGTGCAAAATCACGTCCGGGTTTGGTCCTTTGAGATGATTTTCCTTAAATCACAGCCGGTTCCCGGCGGAACGGATCGGTAAGGAAGGCGTAGACGGTGCCGGCAGCTGAACGCCTCTGAGGAAGGGGGTGTCAGGACACCAGTTCCTCACCTATTTCTGGGAATCGCTGCTCACGCACAAACGCCGGAGAATTACGACTGGAACAGCCGAGGGTCAAAATACTTGCTTCCACTGGTTTTCTGTCTGTTCAACGCCAGATGCTGTTTGACCCTTTGCACAAAACACAGCACCCACCCGCTCACTACCCCAGATGCATCGCGGCCACGGGGTCACAGAAATGCGCCAAATGTAAGACAAATGACCTCTGTGTAAAGGGAACCGGGAGGAAGGGACGCCCCTGCCACGGGATGGTCTGAGCTCCCGGCACTGGGATCAGAACACGGACGACGGTCGTCACGGCAGCGGTAAACAGAGCCCACGCATCCACCTAATGCTGTGTTCACGTATGTGTGATAACAATGCGCCTATGTCACGTGCTGGGTACGTCGTGCTACGCGCATTTCCTGCTGTTGGCACGTATCTGGGGAAGCGAGCTCTGATTCATTATTAGCAGGTGTCCTTTGGGAGCAGGGTGACCTGCCTGTGCCTCGCCGTCGGGAATCAGAAGAGGTCTCTGTCTGTCTCTGTCTCTCAGTCTGTCCCGCTGGGATGACCAACCAGGCTTTGCCTCCATGGGGAGGATCTCCTGAGGGTGCAGTTGCCACTTTTTAGAGATTTTCTAATTGCCCAGTTTGACGTGGTTTTGATCGCACGTGTAGGGTAGTTTCCAGACGGTATTTCCTATTTTTCAGGGACTGAATGATTTCAAGGACTTACAGCACTTGTTAGTAACTCCTGGTTCTTTCAGAAAGAGAAAAAGACAATGAAAGACTTTTAACGCAAAACATTATTTAGTGAGATGCTTTCCCAGAGCGAGGTTGAGTCGTGGTTTTCTCTTTAGCCCTATTTTTTAGCTCGTCTACAGCTTACTTGCTCCTGTGTATGTTGTCTTAACCGTATCTGTTCCTTCTTTGCTGCGGAGGGCGCTGCTCTCCAGTGGGCTTGGGAGCCCCAGCGGCACAGCCCGCACCAGAGCCCCCGGCTATCCGGGTCCGAGACCCGGCCCCTCTTCTCCCCGACACAGCCGGACATCGGGTCCCGTGGGAACGCTCCCCACTCAGTGTGTGGCGCAGGGTCCCCTCTGCAACCCCTGACAGCTGCCTCGTTAACCCCCTCTCTGGTCGGAGACGTCTTCCACACCAGGTTTCGGTTGGCTGCTCAAACGCGTCTCACGTGGACGCGGCGCTTCCCCAGCCAGTCGGCGCTCACCGGAGCAGCCCTCCCGCTGAGGAGCGCCTGGCACCCATGCCCAGCACCCGTGGTGGGCGCAGCACACGCCCGGACACGGGAAAGCCTCTGCTGCACCGTGGGCCTCTGGCTGGCCTGTGCCTGCCTGCGGACCTCGTGCGAACCCACTCCTGACTCTGTTTCCCCCCCCAGGCCTACATGGAGGACCACCTGAAGAACAAGAACCGGCTGGAGAAGGAGTGGGAGGCTCTGTGTGCCTACCAGGCGGAGCCCAGCAGCTCGCTCGTGGCCCAGAGGGAGGAGAACGTGCCCAAGAACCGCTCCCTGGCCGTGCTGACCTGTACGTAGCGCCCCACACGCGGCGCGGCTGTGGTGGGTGGGAGCCCCTCCCTGTGCCTGCCCCAGCCCCTCCCTCCCCGGGCAGCTCCGGCCCGGCCTGAACCGCCCAGCCCAGCTGCCTCCCCGGTCCTGCAGCGGAGTCCTGAGCACTGGGGTTGGGGACGTGCACACTCCAGTGGGCGCTGGCTGTGCTGTTCCCTGCTCCTGCGTGATCTGGGACGCGACCCTTCCCCTCTCTGAGTGAGGGCGTAGCACCAGCTCCGCTGGGCACAGAACAGATAGTGGTCGCTGTCGCCGCGTCTGCGACCTACCTGACTCCGCCACGGCACTGGGGACCTTCTGTCTGGGCAGGTGTCGTTGCCGGAAACGGAGACACCAAAAGTAGTCGGTTCTCTGAAGGGACGCGTGCGGGGAGGGGAGACGCAGTTCTGCGGCGACTGCTGCCGGCTGCGCCCAGCGGGCTTCTGCGACTCGGGGCCACGCGGTGGGGAGGTGACGTGAGCCACAGCACAGCAAGGACAGGGACGCGGTGTCCTTGTGCCCAAAGATTGGACAGAAATGGGTATTGGCCAGACGCTGCTTTCCTGAGTGATGAACGACCGTGTGTGTGTATGCACGCGCGTGTGTGTATGCACGCGCATGTGTGCGCACGGGTGTGTGTGTATGTGTGTGTGTGACATGCGTGTGTGTGCACATGTTGGTGTGTGTATGCGCGGGTGTGTATGTGTATGTGTGACATGCGTGTGTGTGCACATGGTGTGTGTGCGCACGGGTGTGTGTGTATGTGTGTGTGTGACATGCCTGTGTGTGCACATGTTGGTGTGTGTATGCGCGGGTGTGTGCGTGTGTGTGACATGCGTGTGTGTGCACATGGTGTGTGTGCGCACGGGTGTGTGTGTATGTGTGTGTGACACACGTGTGTGCACATGTTGGTGTGTGTATGCGCGGGTGTGTGTGTGACACGCGTGTGTGCGCACATGTTGGTGTGTGTATGCGCGGGTGTGTGTAAGATGCGCAGCTGCTCAGTCGCTCTCTCGGTAACCGTAAGATGGGAGGGACACACGCGTGTCTAATGTAACAAGAGGAGCGTCATCAGCTCACACTTCCCGGAGCGCAGCGAAGCCCATCGGCTTCCCCGCAGCTTCCCAACGGCGCAAAGACGAGCATCCTCCGTGGTGAAGGTGACCTCTGTCACCGTGTCCCTGCCACGGCCCTCGGGAGTGGGTCAAGGGACCAGCCTGGCGCCACCGCCCACTGCCCGGCCTCTCGTCCGCCGCGGCCCCGGGGGCAGCCTCTTCTCACAGTGAACACAGGAGTGTGGCTGACGTCCGGAGGTGAGGGCAGGGAGAAGCAGGATCTTGTGTTGCTGGGGGCTCACCTGGACAGTCGTAGACCTTCACGGAGCCCGGCCACGCCCCTGGGTGCAGACTGTGTTCTAACGGTTCAGTTCGCGCTCACGCCAGACCCTCTGTTTCCGTGAGGCCCGAGGGGTTTTTAACCCTAAAGAGCTTTAAAAGCGGAAACTGTTGTGATTTATACATTGATGTTTAGAAGGAAAGCAAAACAGAATTCGGTCAACCAATGGGTCTTTATTAAGCACCTGCTGTGCGTCAGGGGCTGCGGACGACGCTGGGGCTGGCGGCTTCCACCGTCCCGTGAGCAGCCTGCTGGTGGGGGACAGCCGTGAGCGTGCACTGCGCGGTGAGCACACGTTAGATGTCTTCTCTGTCTGGCTGTTTACACGGCTTCCTAGGTCCTTTACGGTAACGGCTGACATTCAAGGCCTGTTCGCCGGAGACACCCCCAGTGACAGCCCAGAGCGTGCCAGGAACGCACAGGGGGTGTCCTCCTGTGCACCCTGCAGCTGCGTGGCACCCAGGTTCGGAGGCGAGGACCCTGGCCATGGAAAGGGGCCCCTCTCAAGGTAGTGGTCAGCGCCAACGCAGCCGCGCGAGGACAAGGCCCTTGAGCTCTCTGTGGCGGGAGCGTGGCCCTGCCCAAGGACGGGAAACGCTTCCTCCGTCCCCTCCGGTGCTGGGAGCTGGAAGGCAGCGGCCTGCACCTCGACCCGCCCACAGGTCCCGCCCGCAGACTCCCGGGTCCCCTACCCGCAGCAGCTGGCCCGTTGGGGCAGCAGTGGGGGACCCGGGGCCGTTAACTGCACGCGGGTGAGGGAACCGCGCTCCTGTCCGAGGCTGAAAGGTCGCTGCAGGAACACAGGCGAGTTGTCTCTGGTGGAGACAACCTGGATAAATACTTCCGTGAATCAATAGGTTTACTCTGAGCAAACTTGTATCATCCACTTTTCTCTCCATACTACTGGCCACCTTAGCTTTTAGAAGGAAATCTTTTCATCAAATTCTACCCCGCAGCTCCTCCCAGGCGGAATATGAGGGAGAAAATGCCGTCGCTTAGACTCCTGCTGGTCTTGCCAGACTGCGGTGGAGGTAACAGCCCTTCTTGTCCCTGACCCCGCCTGACCGTGCCCGGCTGCTGTGCTCTTCGTGGGACAGAATCAGCTGTGTGATCGAGCCACGACGTGTCGAGGAGAACTGGCTTCTGCTGGCTCTGTGTCCTCGACGGCTCCTGTCGGTCGCCACAAACGGGTAGACGGGCGCTCGGGCCCCGCGTGCGTCTGCGCATCTGGGCGGCGGCGCCCTCATCCCTGTAGCGTCTCACTCTGCGTTTGCTCCTCGACCATGTCCTGCACACGTGTGCCCCAGGTTCGCTCACGTCTGTTTGAGGGGTGCTCATGTCTGCCCTCCCGCCGGGTGCCTCCTCCCCTGCGTCCCGCTGTGAGCAGCCCCTCTCCTGACCACGCCCCGTGAGGGGCCCCCCCAAGAGAACAAAGCAGCCGCCTGACTTCCGAGATGAAGCTGGATTCACCAAGTGTGTCCCGCTGGACGTGCCGCGGACCCCGCGCATGTCCTTCCTGGTGGAGCCGCACGCGCCCTGCTGCCCGCCTCCTGCCCGGCCGACACGCGCCCTGCCTCCCGGGGCTGGCGCCTCCCCGCCCAGGCTGGAGACAACGTGGGGCGAGTGTACAGGAGATTCAAGACTGGGAGAGCCGTGGCCCTCGGATCCCTGCAGCCTGGGGTTCCAGCCACGGCCAGATCATCCTCGGAGATGACACTGGATGCTCGGCTGGCCTGCGCTAGGTCGGTGTGTTACCTCGGAAGCTTAAAGAACTTAACGTGCACTTGGTAAGGTTTTGCATCTTTAAAAAGAATTGTGCAGTGTTTTGCTCATCTGCTTTTTAAATTAGGAACAGGAACACGATGCTATTTTGGTGTACGGTCTTAAACAAAAAAATATTTTTGGCTCTGTGTTGTGAGAGAGAGAAGTCGTCAGAGACACAGAAACGGTAACAGACAGAGCCAGAGAGGACCAAGACAGACCCGGGGATGCGCCATGCGGCGCTCGGACACGTCGACTCCTAAGGATGCTGTCCCTACAGAGATGACGGCTCAGCGCACGGCCAGAGGCATAGCTGGGGCCTCCCGCCGCCGCCTATGGGCCGCTCAGATGCGGGGGGCGGCCCAACCCGCCGTGCCCCACGTCGAGTTGCGCTGCGGAAGGACGTCCACCCTTACGAGAAACCACCGTCTGGCAGATGAGGACTCTGGGGTTTCGAGCCAGGCCGACCGTGCCGACGCCCGCCTTCCCCAGGCTACTTGGGACGCGGACGCTTCCTGGACTCACCTGAGAGTTCGTGCGTGTTGGGAAGACGCACGTAGATTTCAGACTCCCACAGGCGTGCGTGGTTGAGATACAGGGACCACGGCACTTGGCCAAGCATGGCTGACCTTAAAATTCTCAGAAAACAGTCTCTTCCCAAATAAACCTTTGGTTTCGTATTTTTCCTCCCCAACCCTAAGCAGAATCCCCTTTAAGGAATGTTTTTGCTCAGGTCACTTCCGAGTGACCAGAAATTATCCTGACTTGCTTTTAAAGATGGAAACATGAGCAATTCTCCTAAATCTGATGAGTAAGCAAGGGTTTTCTGTCTTCCTCTCGTAGAGGAATGTTCTGGACACGCCTGTCACTCCCCAAGACAGTGGAGGAGAGAGACTCCGGGCTTGGCTGTCGTCCACCCCTTTTTGATCTCACAGCCAGCCGAGTCTGTGCTGCCGGGATTTAGGAAGCCGTCGGTCTGTTGGTGTTGAAAGGAAAATATCCCAGCAAATCTGTGTGGGCTTTTTTCTGCTACATCACAGGCAGAAGCTGTTCCGGCAGCTGCTCTGCCTGAGAGTGAAGGATTTTTTAGGAGAGAGGTCCACAGTCACCCTCATTAGGCTCCTTCTCCTGAAGGCGAGGACGGGCTCAAAGCGTCGTCTCTCAACCACAGCAGCACATGCCTCCGTGAGCCGCTCGGGGCCTCCGGCGCCAAGAGCTGGGGCCGGCTGGTTTGCCAGTCAGTGCGCTGACATCCCACACAGCTCAGCCACTCGGAGTTCAGATTTTATATTCTCTATGCTCTTTTTTTTCTTTTTTTTTTTTGAGACAGGGTCTCGCTCTATTGCCCAGGTAGAGGGGGTGAGTGGCGTCATCACAGCTCACTGCAGCCTCGGACTCCTGGGCTCAAACGATCCTCCTGCCTCAGCCTCCTGAGTAGCTGGGACTACAGGCGCCACCATACCTGGCTGATTTTTTTTTTCTTTTTTGTAGAGACAGGATCTTGCTACATTGCCCAGGCTGGTCTCAAACTCCTGGGCTCAAGCGATCCTCCCATCTCAGCCTCCAAATGTGCTGGGAATATAGGCGTGAGCCACCGCGCCCGGCCTACTCCTTTTCTTGAAGCCAAACCGATCAATCTGTAGGACATCGAACCTCGTGTAGCACAGTTATCTTCACTTCTCACCGTTCACGTTCTAGTTCTACTCGCAGAATCTCAGTGTTGGAGGGTCTCAGAGGGCCTGGGGGTGGCCGGCCAGCAGCCGGCCACCCTCCCCTGGACACGCCCAGAAAGACCAGTCCTCCAGAAGGGCCAAGCGCGCTGGG